CAGTGAACACTGTAAATGTTGTTTAAACCTACTTTTGGTAACAAACCGAGGCCAAATCAAAAGGAAATGGTATTTCAGATTTCATAGTTTGCTCATCTCATGGGATCTCTATGGTTATATGACTGTCAGTTTACAATGTAAAGCCTGTAGTTCAACACAAAGGTTTTATTGTACAGTTTACATGAACGTTTCTCAATATAGACTCTGTATCCGTGGAATTGCAGTAGTTGGAATTTCTTTTTAAAGTTTATGTAACTCTTAAAAGTGATTAGTGAGCTCTCATTGTAGCTCAGGGCTCAATACTAAGGATTTTTTTCTACTGGGTTCAAATTTGTGGACCCACCCCAAAAATTAATCAATAAATATAATAAAATAGGTATTGTTTTCTTTAGTGATTTTTCAAAAATATTGAATTGGAATATTTGGGCTCATTAAAAAAAAAAAAAACATTTCCATTTATTGCACAGAACGTACATATACACTTGAGTCAGCATGGTTATCATGTTTATGTTGTTTCGCATGTTAAAAATAACAAGAATATCCACATGCTTGATTGAGGGACACAAAGATAAGTTTCTTATATGAGAGTTTCTCACCATGCTATGTGTTTTCTGTTCTTAAACCCATCTCCCTCAACAAAAATTAATCTTTTAATTTTTTAATCTCTAATTTTGCTGTAAGATAAGTTATCTTCTCTCAGGAGTACTGAATGGTTTGAAATCACTTGAATGTTTAAATTGGCAGCCGCAAGACTTAAAAATACGTGCAAATTATAAACTTAAAGGACAAGTTCTGTATTTTACATTTATAGCCCGGTTTCAAGATCATTTCTGATGAAATAGAACGGGTAAGATACAATTTGGACATGTGTCTAAGTTTTTATCTTAGCCGTTAAAACAGGGCTTAAAACAGGGCTTTAAGACCCCGTTTACACCTGGTATTAAAATGCGAACTGTATCCAGATAAGTTATCCGGATAATAAGTACTGATTCCATTTACACCTGGCCACATAAATGCGTTTTTGCAAAACGGATATAAATCCGATCTTCACCTCCTGCGTTATATGCAGATTTATTGGATTGCACGCCACCAAAAGCAACAGATCTGAACGGCATTTTATTGATCATCAGCTAATTTCCAAATCAGAGACATCAATAAGAGAGAGTGGCAACAGGCCTGGTAAGATCATTTCGTTTCTTTACTTGAAGATGTGTTAACTGCGTCTGTGACTTACTTTCACTTTTATTTGCGATGTTTGCACGTTGAATAAACGCTCAGCTGCTCATCTGCAGTGATGCGTGTCGCGTGTCGCATCTGACTAGGCTATAACATGACATAGCCTATATAACACGCTCTCACTCGTTTATTTTTTAGCATTTTTGGGAGGAGTAAAATATACATATGTGGTTTCAACAACCAGATTTCGTTTACACCTAGTAAAGATCCGGACACAATGCGAGCCAGACTACCTCCAGATGTGGTCAGGCAGATCCGATCACGATCCGATCACAACGCGTTTACACCTTGCATTAACATGCGTTTTTTATTATCCGGATAACTTATCTGGATACAGATCGCATTTTAATACCAGGTGTAAACGGGGTCTAAGTGTAAAATACCGAAGTTGTCCTTTAAGTGAAAGTCTTAAAGTGCATAAATGTTTCTGGAAATTTCCTGAATTATGAGCGCTAAACCTGCAGGAATTAGTAAAATTATGCACAATACTTGGCCCTCAATGAATTTCCTCTGCTGAAATTCAGGCCCTGATGATTATGATAATAATAATAATGTGTTATTATTTATATGGTATGTTGTTTGGCTTCCTAAAAAATACCAGTGTGAAATGTGAATGTGATGTTGACTGATACACTATCTCAACAAAGTTTTTTGAGTTTACTAAAAGTCCAGGCACAAGACGATGCAAAGACTTTTTACTCTGTTTAATTTGGTCAAAGCACTTTGGTTCACTTAACTTTAAAATGTACCAGACTCCAAACACTGGTAAAGATATAAACATTTTGTTTAACCGTTAGTTAAACGTAAAGTTGCATGCATTAACCTCAGTGTTCATGACTTTTGTTTTGTAGCATGCAGTTTAATTTTTGTTAATGTGATTAGTCTAAAACCTTGAAGCTGACGGGATCTTCCGGATTACCTCCCACTTCTTTATAGAGCTGATCCTTAGTGATTGTCACCCATGTGAACACAACATATAGGCCTGCAAAAGCATTCAACTTCTCTGAGTAGGCCAGCGTCCGAACAGAGCCACGATAAACTCGCAGCGAGATTCATTTATGGTTAATCATCTTCCTTCCTTCGCAAAAAGGCTCTCCATGGGCCGAGATGATGCTTGTGCTGGTGGGCTATTTAGCATCCCGGATGAAGTGCTAATACACGGTACGAATCTGAAACGATAACGGTTGGCTTTTCCGTTCAACAAATGGTAAGCCATACATCCGCTCCTCATTGTAATTAGTCTGCTTTAGTGGCTCTGTTTGCTCGGAGGGATTACAGTAGTCCGCGGCAGGGCGGCATTACCACAGATCGAGTGAAAGCATTAGCCGTTGACATCAGTGTCCCCATCATTAGCATTATCACGGGCTCCATAAGCTTTGTGCCACTCCCAGCTGCACCTTCTGACTAACACAAGCCATTCAACAACATCAAAATCTTGTGACATTCGAGTGCTTGTTTGTTGTTATTCAGTAAGCAACTGTTTTAAACAACTGTGGTGTAAGAGAACCATATCAATATCCCATATTGGCAGCGGGTAAGGATCCAGTGTGTATAAAAACATAAGCTGATGGTACAATAAAGGCGTTTGTTAATAAATAGAAGGTACTTTGTCCTTTGCCAGTAGCGGCGGAGAGAGATAACGCGGCTCTGCTACATTCTCCTCGGGCCAGTCGTGAGCCCGCTGGCAGAGAGGTGAGATTTTGTCAGCATGACTGGAAGTGTTTGAGGAGCTGGCAGGATTGTTTGACAGCGAGACGAGTGGAAGAGACTGGAGATTGTTTCAGTCTCGTAGACGTTGTGGGACGGAACTGATGCGATTGCCGACAGACAGAGAAAGAGATGAATGTGTCTGAATCCAGTGAGAGACAGATATCATGGGGTTGAATGCACGGGTGCTATCCTGTTTTAAATCGCATCCATTAGTCGGTGGTTTTGAACTAGTTACCACTTTTTCGATGCTAAAGTCGAGTTAATGTGTCATAATAATGTAGGCCAGGTGATAAAATATGAATGCGCTGCGCGAGTAAAACATGTAGTCATTAATAAATGAGAAGTTTGTTTATGTCTTAAAAGGGCTCGTGGCAGGCTTGAGGTTTCAAACACTCAAGTGTATGGTTTATAAGCGCTCCAGATATCAGCTTTTGCTTTTTACAGTAATGTGTCAGGTCATTTACTAGGGAAGGGCGCTAAAATGTTGCTTTTAAGGCCTATATTGAGCCGATAAAGCTCTTTTTGTGTATCTGCTTAGAAATTACTTGAAGGGTGGGTTTTCAGCATGTTAAATGCCAGAAATAGAATTATTTTGTTATGCACCAATATAACAAATGCATGCAAGGTTTGTGATTGATAATCTTTTTTTATTTTTTTTACACTTATTTGATCACAAATAAAAGAAAAACTATAATTTTGTGAATGTTATTACAATGTAAAAGATTTTCAGTGTATTCGAAGAAACGGTATTTTTTTTTCTTTTAGGATTGATGAATAGAAAGTACAAAAGAACAGCATTTATTTGAAATGGAAATCTTTTGTAATATAATAAATGTATTTGTCACTCAATTTAATGTGTTATTGCTGAATACATTTCTTTGAAATGGTAAAAGATTTTTTTTTTTATCAACATTTTAGAATAATGATAAAAACAAATTGTTGAATAGGCTCTATGCACGAACTCTGCTGACGTGTGTCCGAAAGAATCTCAGTCAGCTTCTTTATTTCCGGAAGCCCGTTCTGCAGGCCAAGTATATAGTGGCAAAACTTTAATAAAATCAGTTTTCTCAGAAACGCAGACAACGATTTTAGAAACGCTGATTCGCTAGTCGAATTTCGTACGATATGAGAGAATACTAACCCTTAAAGTTGCTGATGTAGCTGGAAATATATCATTTAAATAACTTCTCTTTTTTACTCTTCTGTGACAGCTAACTGCCTCACAGTGTTGTTAACATCATTCACGTTAACCGCAGGACGGTTTTATAAACAGCAAGTGTAATTTGACACGATCTCCACCTAACACAAAACCCGGCTTCTGACGCAGCACTGGATGTAACTGGGCGTGCTGAGACAAACCCGGTAGCGATCGTGCATAGAGCCATGAATTGATTCAGTGAAAAGGATCAACCCTTCCAATGCCATTTTTGCAGTGGACGCTGTCTTTAAGAAACTTAACGGCCAAATATAAATTGCATTATTTCTTCATGATATTCACAATATTGTCAACTAAATGACTATACGATTATAATGAATATGATTAATATCTGATTGCACAGCCCTATTTCTAATTGCAATCCTGATATCAGCCCTGTCCATTTGCCGTAATGTGTCAGGTCACTTACTACAAGGGTGTGTGTTTCTGCTTCAGGACTGCAGGAGCATGTTTGGGGACACCTCTGTCTCTCCTGACCTGCTCTCTGACTCTGTGGGGCTGTGGTTGGGTGATAATGAGCCCTGTGAGGTGGTGCTGATTGATTCATTCTCCCAAACCTGCTGCTCATTAACACCCTCTCCCAGGGCAGCACGGCAGTGCCCTCCTTTGGGAAGCGACGGGCAGAGAATTGAGCGGGTGGTTGTGGAGAAATCTAAACTAAGGCCAGGATCAAGGTGGAAGGGCAGTGGCTGACTTCAGGAAAATATTCCTCTCAGTGACATGAATCCAGTTGCCTCTCTCTCAGTTTTAGCTGCTGTGTGGGGTTTGCATGATGTTTGTTTTGTATATGAAGTTTTGAACTAAAGTCATCTCTTTATTTTTACCCATTGTCTCGCAGTATTCGAAGTGTCATGCAGAAGTACCTGGAGGAAAGGGATGAACTGACTTTTGACAAAATCTTCAACCAGAAGATTGGTGAGTTTTCTCAATGCTGCTTGTTGCTTTGACCCAGTTTTGCATTGCCAACAGGTCATTTCAACTTTGTGTAAAGGACATTTTTAGGGCCAAAACAGAGTAATTCTTTGAAAAAGCATCTAGAATAGACCACATACCCTCGAGGAGAACATTTGAATCTTCGTGAAGTTAAATAAGGATCTAGTAATTCCTTTTTTCTTATCTGAATCAAAGAAGGCTCTTTGTTCTTTATCACTGGCCATTATGTCTGCTTTTCTCTGAACAGTCACCTGAACAGTTAAACTCTTTGTCAGACAGCGTGTCGTACAAATGCGCTTTTGTTGTAGTTTGATGAATGCATATGCCCAAATAACCTCAGGTATACCCTAGTGAAAGCATGCTTTTTTTCCACTTGCCGCTTTTGGAGAAAAGGCGTTTGCTCTAATGTGTGAAGTGTGAGCTGTGAAGGCATCATGGGAACTCGACAGCCAGCCCCAGATTTTGATTAACTTTAATTTTTACTTACTTTTGTGTCTGAAGTCCCAAGTGAGGATCTGCTTCAGTGTTTGGTTTCTCTTTTTTTCTCTCTCCCTCCCCTGACTTCTTTCGCTCACATTGCCTCCATGGATTATGCAATAACATAATGATAGTGTCTTATGTTATATGTTATTGTAAGTTGAGATTCTTAGCAGTTACTATTTCAACTATCGAAAATATAAATTAAATATTTTCTTACGTTACCAACATCAGAGATCAGTGAATATGCGAATTATTAAATGTAACCTTAAAATCTCAGGGAGTACTTACTTAAAGTAATTAGGGCTGCATGATATTGAAAAAAATGTGAAAGCTTCTTAAATATGCTTAATAACTTTTTATCATCACTTAACCCACACGTAAAACTTTGTTGACCTAAAACTTTGAACTTTTTGAAGGAGCCCATTAAAATCATACATCTCCTTCAGTACTGTTTGAAAATTATTCCATGATATACCTCTTGTAGTTAAGAAGCTATTCTAATATGTTGAAAAAAACTAATAATAAATAATGCGTAGTTGTCTCCAGACATTTGACTGGTAGTGTTTATGTATTCTTGTTAATGTTTTCATAGGCTATACAGTATGTTTGTGTGACTGTCAGTGTTGTTACAAATGTGTGTAGTATGTGATGAGTCACTTTTACTTGTGTATACAAACAAGTGCCCTTCCTGAGTGGGAAACCTGTTTGTTATCTTAACAGGGAAATCAAACCGCTATGCGAGTGACATGTCTATAAGGCTAAGTAAAAACAAACGAAAAAGCATTAATTAAATGAAAGAAGTATTTTCACTAATGCAAATAATCCAGGTCCTTTCTGAAGAGAGACGTGAAGCAGGAAACCAAAGTCCGCTGCGATGCCGCTAGTTCACCATACTGAATTTGAATGACAAATGTCTCGGTTTTGCATCTGACCAGTGGAAGGAGATAATGACTCAGCCACTGGTTGCATAATCAGACGCTTCCCTTCTGTCTCTGTCTTTTAACCCTCGTTGCTGTGGCATTTCGTGTTTATTTGATGAACCGAATAATGTTGCATGATGGCTTATCTGAGATAATTCTTTCAGGTCGCATTCAGTTGTCATAGCTGTGGCATATTGGTTTGTTCTTGTGCATAACGTTAACATTCAGAAAACGTTAATATTGCCTCGTTTCTTATATAATTAGTCTCTTGATACGATTTGTAAGCTGTCTTGATTTACTGCAAAAACATCCTACTGTGAAGACCCTACACTTGCTGTGATCCACCTAGTCATATGAGACCTAATAGGGAGCAACAAGTAGCTTTTACCATTAAAATTTCATGAGAAATGAATAGAAATGATTCTTGCTTTGCAGGAGTAGATGTAGAGAAAAACACGCAGATGAAAAACTCAAGCTCAGGGGTGTCTGTCGGCCGAGAATGACAGGGGAAAATGCCATCCTCCTTCATGAATTTAATTTGGTCTGACAGTCACAGCCATGAAGACGTTGGCGTGGAAAAACTGAGCGTTTGATGTTTGACTTTATTAGCAGAAGAACTCGATTTACTGGCTCATCTGGAATGGTCTAGATAATGTGTCTATACATGTTGTAATATGAAAAGCATTAATAAACATTGAAAGAAGGAGCAAAGGGGTTGTTTATTCAAGTCTAGGATGGTTTTTTTTTCTTCAGCAAGATTTTAGATGTCGTGCTGAAGTTTAATACTAATGTTAAGATCATCAATGTCGTTCTGAATGTTTTGATTGATTTTTAATGCTTTTTTTTTCTCAGCATTAAAGTAGTTCACCTCAAAATGAAGATGTCCTTATAATTTACTCAACCCAATGCCATCCAAGATGTTCATCTCTTTCTTTCTTCAGTGGACAATTAAGTTTTTTCAAGAAAACATTTCAGGATTTTTCTCCACACAATGGACTTCAATGGTTACCAAATTGTCCAATCAATGCAGTTTCAAAGGGCTTTGAAGAGATCCCAGCTGAGGAATAGGGTCTTATCTAGCGAAACGATCTGTAATTTTCTAAAAAAATAACCACAATTGTTCGTCTTGTGCTAGTCTGCGACACGCTAGGCATTACGTAATCACGTTGGAAAGGTCACGCTGGACGTAGGCCGCCCAATTGTTTATAAACGTGGAGGAGGATCGTTCAAATTTTATTTTATGTTGAATGACAAAATTTGTCTTTGTGCCAGTTTATTGTTTAAAATCGTCCTTTCGTGTGCTTAATCCTTCATACTTGTACTTCTGCCTACATCCAGCGTGACCTTTCCAACGTGATTACGTAATGCCTGGCATGTTGCAGACCAGCACAAGATGAACAATTGTGGTTATAAAGTATATACATTTGTCTTTTTTTTTTTAGAAACTGAACGATCGTTTCGCTAGATAAGACCCTATTCCTCTGCTGGGATCGTGCAGAGCCCTTTGAAGCTCTTCAAAGCCCTTTGAAACTGCATTGATTTGGACTTCAACAATTTGGTCACCGTTGAAGTCCATTGTGTGGAGAAAAAAATATTTTCTTTAAAAAACGTAATTTCTTTTCTACTGAAGAAAAAAAGACATGATCTTGGATGGCATTGGGGTGAGTAAATTATAAGGACATTTTAATTTTGTGGTGAACTAATCCTTTAAAGGTTTTGAAGTGATAAACAGTCCTTTTGACCAGTATCTGTCTGCCGTAATGGGAGAAAAACATAATTTTCCTCATTTGTGCCCGACAAGTGTAGCATTTCACAGATATCACTGTTCTCTTTCTATGCTCACAGGTTGATAAACACTTTTGCCCCCATTCTTAAACACTTCCATGACCTACAATAAGCTTGTTGCATTGATGCTTTTTGTCTGGGAAGTCAGTCACGACTGCCTGTAATAAAGAATGTTGGGCAGCTCAGGTTGAAGATGAATAGCCCTCTTAGCAGAACGACGTTGGTGTATCGGTACATGTACACTTGTATGCACGGATCTGTGCAGAAACGTGTCCGTTTGACAGCAATTTTTGGGCTGATAATGTCTCTCCATCCCCCTCTTCATGACACATGATTTATTGAACAGCGATGTTGGTACTGTGAAACAGATGCTGCACTGCAGTGAAATTCTCTCTTGAACTCATGACTTTGGCATTGACATGCTCTGCTGCTTGAGCTACAGGAATGATGATGATAATACTACTAATAGTAATTTGTGAAAGAACAGGCCTATTTTACTGACGAAAAAATGCACATGCCTGAATGGCATTCTGTGAATAGTGACTCTACATTCAGTCTGTTTCAAACACAAAGCTATTGTATGGCTTCAGAAGACTTATGTATATCCACCTTTTTCTGCGCCCGTTCTATTTCCCATGATTCATAGCGGGTTCAACCTACTAAATGGTTTTCTATTTCCTGTTGAAGGATTTGTTTACGTTACATAGAATTAGGGCTGAACGGTTAATTGCATTTGCGATAAAATCGCCATATGATGAAACGCGATTTTGTAATCGCAAGAGCTGCGATTACACTGGTCACGTGACACGCGGGAGCAGTCTGCAAGATCAAGCATCAACTTGCCACTCTACGCGGTCTGGCGTTCAGAAAAGAACAGTTTATTTTTAATGTATGTGATATTGTGTTATTTATTCTCTCCCCAACACTCCTGGATTGATTCAGAGAATTTCAGAATCGAGTCTGAGCTTATAGTTTTTAAACACAGATGTGTGATGACGCTGCGCATGCTTCAAAAGCGAACCGTGGCGTGTTCTGCTTGCTTCTATTCTCTCTCTCTCTCTCTCTCTCTCTCTCTCACACACACACATGACACGACATCGCTCGAAGCTTCCGAAACATAGTAACGTCATTTCATAAAGTTCGGGGTTGAACCGCATTACAAGGACATTCGCGGGCTTCATTGCTCAGGTTGCCGCTTTGCTTGATGTTATACTCTTGCAGTGCACGTTCTCTCCCGCGGGAATTTTCCTTACAAATGCTTCACAGAGGCATTATTTATGTCTTTTGGAATGCAGTTGGCTTAACGTTATATATTAAAACTATGAAAATCACTGAGAAGGCTGCTTTCATTTTAAAATACTAACGCGCGCTTTGTGAAGAGCGCTCGTGCATGCGGCCGTGAGCGACTCATTGGTTAAATGTGCATAAACTTGCATGTCAAAATGCTTTTATGACGCGAAATTAAGGTAAACACGGTCCGTTCTTAAACCAACACGACAAACCACATTTTTTCAAGAGATATGTGCATTAGTGTGAATGCAGCTTATCATATCTAAACTGAGGGGGAAAATCACTCCAGCTCTTTACTGATAAACATTCAGACTATTTCTTTATTGCTTGTAATGCTTTTTTTTGTTTCTCTTCATTTACTAGCTTTTATATTTTGAAGATATATTATTTTATAAAACCTATTTAAATTTCTTAACATTGGTTTAATTAAATGTTTTTTTTTATAATTATTTTTTAAAGTATGTGTTTTTACACATGTAATTAAATACATATTTTAAGAGTTATTAA